CCCCAGACCCCAGCACTGATGCAGTGCCACAAACCATTGGAATGAGAAGAGATGTTTCTCTCTATGCATTTTTTTTTTTTTTAAATTTGAAGTGCATGAGAAGAATTCTCATTCAGGGAAAGTTTGGCTGTACTTTGCTACAACATTAGACTTCTCTGTTGGGTGTCTTCTGCTAGAAACATTTAGATTTATTTTTGTTTGTGTTCTGTCTTACGCAGCTAAGAAAACAGTTTTGAATAGGACAAATTGTCTTGTTCCAGGGAGGAGGTCTGATCTGGAGAGTGAAAACAGCTTGCTACTTGGAGGACTGTCCACAAAAGAACAAAGCTCTTGAGGACACTTCCCTGCACTGTGCCCCACTAGAGATAATGTAGAGCCAAGATATTGGCCTCGGGAAACACAGCTATGTGAGACAGTCTCTTGTTTAGTGTTTTGTTTCCTTCTTTTCCTAGGATTCATGTGCTCCAGTGCCTGATACTCTGGGTGTTGTTGCTCCTTTGGATCTGATGGGCTGGGAGGCAAGGGCTTTGGGCATTCTCTGCTCCTGCTTGTAAGAAAGAGGAATCATGTTAGTTCATCTTACAGGGATGCTGGTGCACTTTCCTGACAGTCTGTAATAGCTGGTGCTGTGGAAGAAGACTGGAGTCTTTTTTAACCAGGTGTGCATCTCTCCAGATTTGTGTTTTGCATGTCACTGGCAACATGTGAGGAAGAAATACTAATGAAAGGGCCAATGCTCCTGCACAACAACATTAATGGGAAATCAGTTCTGGATACACAGAAGTGCAAGTTCCTTTTGGCAGCTGAATGGAGAGCAATGGATGCATAGAAAAGTGAGATGATGGTGTATGATCCATGCATCCTGGAAATCAGTCAGCACTATGGTTATAAAACATCTCCATTTGTCTGCTTTGGCAGACTGATCATAATGAAGAATTTTAAACTTGGTGTAGAATATAAATCCTGGTAGAAGGAACTCTCAAGCCAACAGGAATTTAGCTGCTTAAAAACCTTGGTCTTGGTTTAGTCCAATTTTTAGCCAAAGTGTGGATTCAATGCTTTTAAGTTCTCAATTAAAAGGTCATCCTCCTATCATCAAGCAGTCCAGACTCACCGTACCATCAGCCTGTTTTCCAGAAAAATCACCCCTGTTGGAAGGACAACTGGAAATGCCTAAATGAGATGACAGAAATTCTGTGATCTGAGCCAAAAGCAATTTTGCTGTCAAGGCAAAAAAAAGTTTTCATTTAGACATAAATGTTAGGAAATAGTAGTCTTTTGATAGACAGTTCACAAGATGATATTTGTGAAACTCTGTAGAAAGAGAAACCAATGGAAATTATTTTTACATTTACACCTAAGGCAATTGCATGGATTTATTACTACATCTGGGGCTGCAAGCCTGAGCCTGATTTATTAACTACTGTCCCTTTTGGTTTCTTATCCAGGGTGGCAAACCAGCTGTAGAATGCTGAAAAGAAGTTGAGCTGCATGTCTTGTCCTTTCAGCCTGTTTCTTGTATTCATTTTGGTCTATAAACAAACATCTCTCAGGTCTCCTAAATAAATTTTCTGATTGAGTTCCCAGAACAGACCACCACCAGCCTCATTAAAGCTTATTTATGTTACTTTCATGCATGAATAAAAAAGCTCCCATTCACTGCTGATTTTATTTAGTTAGATTCTGTGCCTTGTGGTAGACATTGAATTGGAGTGACATTTTTGGCACCAAAAAAGAAAAAAATAGTGAGACTGCAAGGAATAGTTTGACACCTGCATCTTTTGCAGTACAAAAAGGAAGGGGTTAACCTGTTCTTGGCAATATGATATTGATTGAGGATGCAAAGAAAATACAGCTGTAAATATTTAGGAGGATTCCCTAGTAGCTGGGGTGATTTTTAGGGGGTAGGTCATAGAACTGGGACTCTGGAGGTGTAGTCTGTCTTCCAAGGGATGCCACCTGGTCCCTGCGTGGTAGGAAGAGAAAGGTCACTCGTTGTTCTAGGTCTCAGCTCCCAGCTGAGAATGGTGCTGTCTCCCTCCCCTCCTTTTCCAGCTTGCTTGTTTATCTCACTAGCTTTTCATCAGAGTAATATCCACTGTGCCTCTGTGCTGAGCACAGTGGGTCCTGCTCTTGGCTGGGGCTTCCAGACACCACTACAAGTAACAGGCATGATTCTCTCTTTACGCTTGTCTCCACCTTCTCCGTCCATGCTCCAGTGCTTGTGAGGTAAGATTAACAGCTAAAAGAAACCCCAAACTAACAATAAAATCAGTGTAAATGAAGAACAAGGAAGGAAAGATCCAGTATATGTGATTAGTTGTGCAATAGCTTTGAGTGGTGTTTTTCTGCAGCCCTGTTGACTGATGATCTCTCTCGTGTAAAGGTACTGCATTTTGGGACAAGAGGGATCTGAGCCTGTCCTTTAAGTCAGAGGGGTGAACAAAAAGCAGCTTTGCCTCTTTCCTTTGCACTAAGCACATTGTGAATATTCTTAAGCTTTGCCACAAGGATTAACATCCCTGAATTTTAATGTGCCTGGTGCTGGAATGTAGCTGGAAAGCAGAGCAGGCAGGAATGGTCTCTCTGGGCTGTGGGCTCTGCTAGGTGACTCTTTGAAGCTCTATTCAATAGCTTTCTGTTACTCTTTACATTTCTTCCCCTTTTCCGCTTTTTTTCCTCCTCCTTCAACCACTTCTTGAACAAGTACTGATACATTTCATGTTTCTCAAATTTACTGGACTGGATTGTTTTATCTCCACACACTTTTGCATGGCAGTAGTAGTTAAATAAAAAATAATAAAGAAAAAAAAAAAGCATGGGGACAGAAGTACAGTTTACTGTTTATTTTGGATCATTAACCTGGTCTGTAAATTTGATTTGATCTCTCCTTTTTTTTTGTTCCTCCCCTGCTCTCTCTGTGTAATTTCAGAGCCTGCGAAGAGACACTGTCTTCAGTGGCTTCAGGATCCCAGCAAGAAATGGGAATCTGATGGATTGTAAATGCACCTGCTTTGTTTAAAACCCAGCCAAACAGATAAGTGCACTTTTAATTCTCTCCAAACGGTGCTTTAGACATAGCTCTGCACAGCATCTCTCTTCAGTTCCAGTTTGGTGAGGCTCTGTGTTTCACCCCTGCAAATGAATGCTGTGTGGGTCTCACTTCAGCTGAGAAATACCAGACAATATTGGTATTTCACACTAAGGTAATTAATTGGTGTCTGAGGGAACTGCAGCTGAGGGGCTGGGAGGATCCCTGGGGTCTATCCCAGCTCTTCCAGAGCCACTGTCTCCAGCAGCCCTGTGAGGTTTTGGGACTCTGAGGAGCAGCTCTGTGGGACCAGACGAGGCTGATGTGACCCATCTGAGCCTTAAAGAGTCCTATGGGACTCATTAGAGGTTTAATAACTAAACTTGGCTGGTTTGATTGAAAAGATGCTTGTGCAGGCTTGGTAAAATCTCAGAGAAACCAGCTCATGCTGCTGGCAGGAAAAAGGGCTTTCTGCATGTGCTTGTCATATGTGTGCAGAGAAAGTGATAATCCTGCTTCCTCCCACCAGCTTCCAGGTGGGAAAAGAGGCTGGGGATGGGGGAGAAAAGACCTTGGATACACTGAGTTTACCCAGGGCATGCAAAGAAGTATCGTGGGTGAATGGTGACAAGAATTGACCCCTCAAAGTTAGGGGAACATTTTTATCTCTCTACCAAGGGTAGAGAGATAAAAATGAAGCAATTTCTGGCTGCTTAGGTCTGGCTTCTAGAGGTGACCACTGTCTCCTTGTGGACACACCATTGGAATTACTAAATTATTCAAGAAACCCATAAAATAGGGTCTCGTGTAAAGTGTAACTTTGCAATAATATACAGCCATGGGGCTGGGGCAAATATACACCATAATGCACTTTGCTGTGTTAGAATAATGAAAAGAAAAGCACTGAAGCTGAGTGTGTGAGCATTGTTGGGGATGTGTGGCAGGAGGCTGGACAAGAGCCAAATTATCTACTCCAGTCTTGTCTTGCCTGCTCTTCCAGGGATAATTACTAGTGTAAAACATCTACCTTGCTATTAGGAAAACTACAACTAGGTTTGCTACAGCAAATTAGGCTGTAGTAACTGACCTGAATTCTTACCTACCTAAGCAGAAGGTGAGTTTCTTGGTGAAGTTGCCAATTTAGGGGTGATAGAGGGAGACAAGAGAGATGAGGAGGGAAAGTGGGAGGTTGCTGCAGTTTGTGAGAACTAAATCTGGATCAACTCATGATCCCTGAAGTTCTTTCTGTTCTAGGAAAAACTTCACTGCTGCTGTTATTACCAAGGAATTTTTTATATTAATAGAAGAGATGGCACGTCTGTTAGTAATGACTAAGCTCTGTCTTACAACTCTAAACAGTATTTATTCCTGACTCTGCAGTACTTTGAAAGCAAAAAAGCTTGACAGTATATTAAGAAACACTGATTAAATGGAGCTCTAGTGAGAAAATCAGGCTAGTTCATTCAGCCAGGGTGGATAGCAAGTTAAAAAAGCTTAAATCCTCTCTGTGCAGCAACTAACGCAGCTTAATGTTTTTCTCATCTCAGATATTCCCAAGGTATTGATTGTTAGGTTGGCAACTTTAAATCTCTTTTCTGCCAGTGAGCTGAAATCAATGTATCCCCCTATTAGGTCCCATTAAATTAACCCCAAACTGGCCAGTTCCAATCTGGCCAATCTGACATTACTCAAAATCAAATTTGGGAATCATCCTGAGGCGTGGCTGGCATGCGACATGTAACAACATTCTGTGCTGCCTGGAAGAAGAAGCAGAAAACACTTGAAGTGTCTCTTGGGAGCTGTACTGATGAGATAGATGATACCAAGGGTGTTCTACTCACCTGTGGTTTGGCTAGTACTTCCTGCAGCTGAGGAGAACAGATTCAACAGCTCTTGTCCAGTTACTGAAAAAAAAAAATTGTCCCGAAAAGAAGATCCTTGAATCCCTAACTCCTTGTCTTACAGGTGAACCCTGAGGACACTTGGGAGGCTGTAGCTCCTGAATGTGTGACCTTCCCCTGTGATTAGAAGAAAGCCATGGGGAAAGACAAGAAAGAAGAGGCCATCTTCCTGAGGAAGAAGATCACTTTGCTGCGGGCTTTCTCACTGCTCATCGGCAGCATGGTTGGCAGTGGCATCTTCATCTCCCCCAAAGGAGTCCTGAAAAACTCCGGCAGCGTGGGCTTCTCCCTGCTCGTCTGGTTTTCCTGTGGGCTTCTCTCCATGTTTGGTGAGTGCTGAGCTTTGGCAGCCCTTGCTGAAGCACCTGGGAAGTGAGGGGAGCCTGCACAGTTTTATGTTTAGAAAGTTGGGAGATGAATAAACCCAAAATTTCTGGTTCCTGCTGCAACGCAGGCTTAAGAAGTCGGGGGATGGTCACTAGGAGTTTTTAGTTCAAATTATTTCCCTGGGGTAATGGACAAAGTTCCAGCACTTATGGTCTGTGAACATCAATTCATGTACAAGTCCAGGGCGGGGGGGGGGACAGTGACTGCGAGTGGAGACAGCATGGTCTCATCCAGAGAGCTGGGAGAGAATGAGGGGACTCCTTCTGTAAGGCAGAGAGGAGATGGAGGCACCTAAAAGGGAACCTGAGGGCTGTGCTGTGCTCTTCACAGGCACTGTGAAGAGAGCAGGAAGGGAGAGTCCCAATATGCCCCATGGGACCCCTTTTCTGTCAGAGAGAATGGCTGGAGCAGAATGCCTGGGATGCACCAACCCAGGGTGGGCGTTGGGTGTCTGTAAGAAATGGTGTGGGGATGTCTGCTGCTGCCCCACTTTCTGTGTGTTACTATTGGCTTGATTTCTGTCATTTGCTACCAGTCTTTTCTCATAGAGGTTGTCTTTTTGATGATAGTTTCATTCTAGTTCTTTTGAAATAATGTAGCTCTTCTAAGTTACAGTGGATAAAACACATGGCTTTTAGTTTCTTTCATTAACTGTAAAAATCATCATCTCAGAAACTCTCTAAAGGTGCTATTAGGACAACTGAAAGTTCTCCCAGCCCAGGAGAGAAATCTGATGCTTATTATAGTGGGTGACTTTAACATTCTTCTTCTGTTGTAGCTTAATAAAAAAAAATAATCCACCCAACAAAAAAAAAAAAAAAAAAAAAAAAAAAAAAAAAAAAAAAAAAAAAGCAAAGTGAGTGTCACTCACTTTGACACTCTGGCATGTACATGCAAGTTTAGAAATTGAGACATTTGATTGTTAATAGGGCAACAAGTTGTTCCTGCTCTTAGCATATGTGTACCAGTATTTCACATTGCAACTGTGAGTGGCTGTTTGGTGAGTTATACACTTCTGCTTAAAGAAAAGCTGACAGTATAATGTGGGCATGGTGTTTCTTTTAACCAAGCAGAGCAGTAAATGAGAACGTGTGTGTGTAATGTATGTGTAATCACATAGCCAAGGTCTGTACTTGTAAAGGTTTTTCTCTGTACAGCATCCTTTGATACCCTCTCCTGGAAGGGCCTTGGGAGCCTCTTTACCAAGTGATTGCATTTTGTTGCTGGATTTGTCAGTTTGTTCTTCTCTTTTATCAGCTTGATGACCTCCCCTGATCATTTCTCTGACACTTTTTTGGAGTATATTTAAAAGACCTGCTTTCTTTTGTGCCTTTTTTTCTTTCAAGTGGGGTATATATACAAGTCCCATTCCATGAGTTCAGCAACATACTTATAATGCATGAATGCTTGAATGCTTAAATACTTGAAGCATTTAAAGGGACCCACTGGAATAAACTAGATGAGCTCTCTGCCTATATTTGATGCTTTGAACAGGAGCTCTGCATGAATTTTCCAACAGGGAGGCAGGAAACATTGAGGTTGTCACCATCCTGCGTGACCTGAATATGGCACAATTGCCATGGGACTTGGAGGCACGGCCATGTCACCACTGGCTTCAAAGGAGGGAAGGGATTTATGTGAAGAGGCAAGATAAGGACACAAGAATGTGGCCTGGGATCAAAAAACATGATTCAAATGACCACTTCAGCCAGGGCTTGTGGCTGAGCTGCTGTAGTTGCTTTGTAAGCACCATTTCATCAGTCTAACAGTGAGGAGAAGCAAGAATCCAGGGTATCTTTCAAAGGAAACCCATTGTAGCTCTGTGCAGCATTTCTATCACACACTCTTCTTCAGAGCTTCCATGGAAATGCAACATTACCACAAAATAGAGAATTTCTTTCCACCTGACAGGTAAGTCAATTACTTCAAAACTTATTTCAAACCACAGTAGTGCACAAACATAGAGAAAAGTGGTTCTGTTAAACCTCTTTTTCTTCCTCCCATTCACTACTTATTTTAAGTGGATTTGTTCAATCCCTGAAAAATCACACAGAAAAGGGAAAATCCCTGGGATTATTTACTTGGTGCATTTCTACCTGAACTTTTCCAGGTGCCTTGTGTTATGCAGAGCTTGGAACAAGAATCACCAAGTCTGGAGGACATTACATCTACATTTTGGAGACACTAGGGCCTCTGCCAAGCTTCTTATTCCTGTGGGCAGAGTTTTTTGCTATCAGGTAAGAGATTTTATTTGCTTGCCTCTTCCTGGATGCAGTGATAATTTAAAATACCAAAAGTTATGGTGCTGGGTAACAGTCCAGGCAGTTTGTAAAGGAAAGAGTTGAATGATTTTTAAAGATTTTTCAGTGATAAAAGGAAGAAGACACAATGTGGAACTAGTTACAAATGTTGAATGTGTTCTGTACTTGAAGAATATCTCTTTTCTCTCCTGGCAGCTCCTATCCCCCAAGAGCTGTGGTATATTTCAGAGACTGACAATAGATGCCAGGTTTATTTCAGATCTTCTGTTTTCAGTATGAAACTTTTTTTGTTTTCTTCAGATTCAGAAAGTGGAGACAACTTCCTGGCTTATCCCCAAGTTAAATAATTTATAAAATTGTGAACTACTTCTTTTTTTAACATTAAAAAGGAAGTCCTCACCTCTCAATAACCTGTATCCTTCATGTAATCTTAGATGAGGCAGAACACATGAACTACACTTGCATTGCTCAGTATGATTAATCTCAACTTTTGCTTTCAAGTTGGAAATTAATTTTGCAGCATGAGGTTTTTAACCCATGAGAAAAACCTATGAGAAAAACTCGATGGGAATTCACCATCTGCATGGGTGAGAGGATTAAGCCAGGAGGGGAAACTTGCTCCCCTTCCTAAGTTTTGTGCAGTTTTACCTCATGCCATTTTCCAGCCATGCTCAGAGCAGTTTGTACTTTGTTCCCCCCACACTCCCCTCTCCAGGCCTGCCAACAGTGCTGTGGTTTCCCTGGCATTTGGGCGCTACATGCTGGAGCCGTTCTTCGCCCCCTGTGCTGCCCCTGTCCCTGCAGTGAAGCTCGTGTCTCTCCTGGGCTACTGTAAGTACCAACATTTATGGGATTGTCCATCCTGGCCTCTCTACCCTAGACTAGGAGCACTCAGGGGTGTTATTTCCTGGACAGCTGTGGGATAAGGGTCCTGTCTTACCTCCTCAGCTAACTAAAATGTTCTGATTCAAGGTGATGGTGTTGGGCCACTATATTCTCTAGGAAGTGGAATGGGCCTCCCTGTTGACCAGCTGGAGCCCTAGGGTAGGGGGATTTTGCCAGGTGTGGGAGAAGAAACTCTCCATGTGTAATTGTGCAAAAGCCACAGGAGTTGTGGGTATAAGGCTTGAGGTTTTGGACTCCTCTCCTGGTGCATCCAGCTCGTGAAGCTGTCTTGCCTGATCCAGACTGGTGTGGACTGGCACAGGGAGTACTGTGAAGTGAGCTGCTGAGATGTCCCACACCTTTCCCCCAGGCAGGTGTGGATCACCCAGCAGCAACCAGGTTCCTGCTCCCTTTTAGGAGTGTAAGTCAGCTCCCTCTTTAAACACTGTATGCTGGACCAATGTTTCCTGACATCTCTCATCCCAGGCATCCTCTCTAAGGCATAAAGATGCAACCTTCCCCCAGCATCCCTAGGGCAGGGAGAGGTGCTGTATTTTTTCCCGTGTGTGTTGAGCCCAGGCTGCAGCTGTAGCAGTGGTGTTTCCTCTCCAGACACGGTCCTGACCCTCAATTCCTGGAGCGTCACCTGGAGCGCACGGCTGCAGACGGCTCTCTCCGTCATCAAACTCCTGGCCCTTGCACTCATCATCGTGCCAGGGATGATGCTGCTGGCCCAGGGTAGGTGTTGCTGCTCCTATGGCTGAGGAGGGTGCTCGATGTGCCCCCTGCCATGGCTTTTATCAGTGCCAAGTGACAAGTGTGGTGCTCACTCAGCTGGCAGGAGCTTTCTCTGTCCATGTGCCAGATGTGAATTAGCTGAGAGCTGAGACCGGCACAGCTGGCACAAGCTGCATCATTGCACTGGGCTGATGCACCTGGCTGGGGGGTGCTTTCTCCAAAATTTAGTGGGTCTTAGTGCCAGAGGATATGTGAACCTACCCAGGTCACCCTAACCTTCCTCTGGAGTTAGACTTGCCTATTTCCAGAATAGCTCAAAATCTTTTGCCAAAGCAGCACATATTAAATGGACATTTGGGATATGTGACAGCATCCCCTGTGCCGATCACAGCTGTATAATGAGTTACCAGCCCTCAGCTGGGCCCTGGTAATGGCATCTCTAACCCTTCTGTGGCACAAGCTAATGTTTTTTACCTCCAGATTGAGATGGGTGGTAATTCAGTGAATTTACAATGAACTTGGTACAGGATTTCATGCCCGTATGCAGAGTGGGGGAGAAAAACCCTACCAGTAGGATCTTCTGTGAACCATACAAGAGTATTGGCTTTAATCCAAGCCTCAGTTTATAGAAAAGCCCAAGGCATTCCCACTCAAGGGATGAAGCCTGCTCCCTCTTCATGCTATTACCTTCTTCTGCAGAGAAAACACCACAGGCAATGGGCTCCGTGTTCATGTTTCTTTCTGATGTCTTTGAACATGCAAAGCTCCTTTGAACATGCAAAGCTCCCCTTGGGCTGGCTTCTGAACTAAAGGACTGGCCTGCAGCTAGGAATCCCCAGCCATTATTGTTAGGAATGCCTTCAAATGACAATCTGGAGCCCTGGCACCCATCCTCTGGTGGGGAGGATAAATGCAGGTGACATCTGGAGGGAGAATTCACCAAGAGACTCCAGTATGACAGGTTGTATTTAATGTGACTCACGGGGGACTGTAAATTGCTCATTAATGCATTGCAGGCAATAAATCCTTTTCATGCACCATCACTTACCAGCCATCATTTTGGAACATAAAAAAAGTACCCCAATAGACCCACTCCTATATTTTGGGTTAGTTTTCTTCAAACCTATTTTCAAATTGACTTCCCTTTTTTTTTTTTTGTGCTTAAAAACCAGTTTTGCACTTTTAAATATTTTTGCCTGATTCCTATGCCTTGTGCTGCCTTTTTTTTTATTGCAATTCTGTCCTTTCCTTTGCCATTACCTTCTCTTTGGCTCAGGCTTATGTTAGAGACTTTCTGGGCCAGCGTTTCAAACCCATGTGCCCAAATCTCATCACTGAACTCCTTGCAGAAGCACCTCCACAGAAGTGGCCTGACTTTCTCCATGTGCTCCATGCCATGTCACACCTCGCCTGGTAAAGCCCAACTAGGAAAGCTTCTCACCTCTTAAAGAGAGTTTGTTATGAAAATTGAATATAGATGTGGTACCAAACCTTGGGTTACCAGGATTTGAAAATGTTGGGAATGCAATTCTTTTTGACTGTGTTTGAATGAGAGGCCATTCAGAACTGCTCTCTTCCCTAAATCCTTTTGTTTTGATTTAGAGAAAATCTTGACTTTGATTTTTTTTGTTAAGTTTTGCTTTGTTGTTTCAAGCAGAGAACTTGAAGGAAAATTAGGGGAGTTGGTAAATATCTGAGACACCTTTACTTTGGACATGTTATCTGCTTTGCACTCTGTCCTTTCCTGTGGGTGAGTGGTGGTGGGTCAGACTGGCAGGTGTTGCTCCCATCCCCTCCTCCAGCCTGGTTCCCATGCTCTGGCCAGCACAGGGCTGGGGTCAGTGCTCCAGCAGCAGGAACAGGAGGGAGCCCAGTGAGAGCTGAGTTAGCTGCCTCGCTGGCTGCACCACATCAAAGGGGAGTGTGTCTCCAGCTGCTGAGGGGGCTGGGGACTGAACATGGGGGTCAATCCAACAACTTAATTTTGGGACTGAAGGAAAGAAAGGACAACATGGATCTGCTCATCTCCATGATCTGTTCCCACATCAGGGTCTGTTGGAAACAGCTAGCTATTGTTGTTGCCCCTCCTGAAATGCCTACCCTAGCTGGACAAGGGATAGATTTTTTTTTTTTGTTTTTTAATGTCACTGTAGGAAAGTAAACATATCAGCAACAACACTGAAGTTAAAGCAATGAAATGAATTTGAATACCCTTCTCCAAGGAAATCACAAACACTCTTCCCAGGTCTGGGCAAAGAGGTACAAGGGATGTTATCCTACAGGGAAGGAAGCCTGTCTCTGCGTTTTCCTGCTCTGTCTCCGTTGTTTATCTCCTCTGCAGGCCACACCGAGAACTTCCAGGATGCTTTTGACAGGCAGTCGCTGGTTCTGGATAAGCTCCCCCTGGCTTTCTATGCAGGCATGTTCGCATACTCCGGCTGGTAGGTGCGATGGGAGGGCACGTCCCGGGCAGCACGCAGGTGCCCTCAGCGTGACTCAGACTCTCACCCTGTCTCTTCCCATCGTGCAGGTTTCAGACCGGCTTTGTGCGCGAGGAGTTGGTCAAACCTGAACGGTAAGGCTGGGAGGAAGCTGTCCTGGGTTACCAGCCTCGGGGCTCCCACACCTTTCCCAAGGGCAGTGCAGGAGGAATAAGTTTGTGGGTTCACCTGACTGCAATCAATTGTACCACCAGATAAAATCTGCAGTAATACTGTGCATAACAAGGGATAGCAGCTTGTTCTTTGAGTGTGTTCCCCTTCCTTGCAGAAATATCCCCCTGGCTGTCATCGTGTCTGTGATCACAGTAATTGTGGGATACATGCTCACCAACGTCTCCTATTACACAGTCTTGGGAACAGAAGATGTTCTGGCTTCTCCTGCTGTGGCTGTGGTGAGTTGTTATTGCTATTGTTATCTCCTCAGTGTGGCCAGCTTGTGCTGTGGTCATGGCAAGCATTTCAGAGATGATTTTCCTATAAAATGCTTTATTGCTTTGTAATTTCTCTGGAATACTGGGCAACAGTAAATTCTTCTTGTTGTGGTGCCTAAAAGATAATGAAAAGTAACCTGCAGATGACAGTAGAAAAGGTGAAATTTATGACTTCTATATTACTCCTTCAATGGAAGAAGTTTCCTTTTTTTGACCTTGATGTCATCTAGAGATCACCACATATTCCCTAAAGTCATGTTTGCTCTTTCTCCAGAGCTTTGTGCAGCGAGCCTTCAAAAGCCTGATCTCCGTGGTCCCTGTCCTTGTTGCACTGTCCTGCTTTGGAACCATGAATGGAGGAATCTTCACATTTTCAAGGTCACATCCCTAAGGGTCTATCATGCTTTTGGCTCACTGAATCAGAGGGAAGCATCACCAACCTATGCAACTACCCATCCACACAGTGGCATTTTAGCCACTCTTGTGAGAAAAATAAGGCTTTTGACTCCCAGGTTGTCAGCTACAGGATGGTCCCTTTTGGCTAAGAGACTACCTTTTCTATTTCTTACCAGGTCCAGACCTTGGTACCCAGCACTGGTCACAAACAAAGATTTTTATCTTCTCCCCTACTCTTCAGTTTAAATCCCCAGTTTTAAAGTGAAATGTCAGTGTTTCTGGTGAACTAAAGGCTTTGTTGATGTTGGCAGCTGCTCAGTGAGACTGAGTCTTCTTCCACTCGGTTCACCCAGCTGTGCTGCTGGGGGGCATAGGGTCCCTCTGTTGGGAGGCTCTCTAGGCAAACTCTCCCTTGAGAACTTTGCTTTGAAGTCAGTGAAATGTCATTGGGATGGGCTATTCCTAAAGCAATAGTCAAGGTTCAAGGAGTCTTGTTATAGCAGTAAGAAAAGCTTTGTCCCATGGAAAAATAAACTTGCCAGCTTCACCGTCTGCCACACTCCGTGTCCTTATGGGAGCCTTGAAATTGGAGAGGAGGGCAGGCCTTATGAGCAACATACTTAGGTTGTGCTGGTCCTGTGGAGCTGAGCAAACTCTCTGCAGTGGGTTTTGCTTCACAGCTTTGATTGCAAAGGGAAAAATCAGTTGATCTGAAAGGAATGTCTCATAGCCTGAAAGTGAATGAATTATCTGATCCACTACTCTGAAGTCCCAGATTAAATACAGGTGTGGACGATCCTTCCCATTAGCTGCTCCAGATAGTGGTTTTCTTTGAGGATGAGAAGTCTCTGGACAACACAGAGGTTCTCAGTGTCCCCTACTGACCTTCTCTCCCCCATCCTGGCATCATTAACATAATCACTGCAGAAAGCCCATATAAACACTGCTAGGGCCTCCCTGGCTGCCTGCCAGCCACACCCCTGCAAAGCCACAGAGACAGCAATAAAACCAGTTGTACACTTGTGCCCCAGCTGCTTGGGGCCCTGCTTCAGCCCAGCTGATGCTCTGGCATGGTTTGTTTGAGGATATTAAATTTCTAAAATTGGATGTGATTGTCTTCTCCCTAATTGCTCTCTCACGAGTCAAAGGAGGGATGCAAACAAGGAACTCTCTGCTCTCATTTTGTAGCTGTTCTTGTGTGTAGCTGGTCTCTTGGCAGTATGACAAACTGTATTTTCCAACATCTGACCAGAGGATTGGAAATCATCTGTCATTTGAGGAGATTGCACTTTATTTTTTCTATATATGTACATATATGAATATAGGCTTCAAAGCTGACAATCCCCTTTCATAAACTCACCAGTTTCTCTTATAAAGAATTGAAGTTTGTGACCCCCTCCACTTCCTTTTCACTGGAAAGATTAATTCCTTTTTTGATGGCAAGAGACTTTCTTACTCCTGTTTCCAGTCTTGAGTTCATTCTTGGTCACTTTAGACTTGCCCCAAGGTCTCTGCAGATGAGCACCCAAGGAGACACTGCCAGTGGTTCTGATGGAGGGCTCTGAACTGCACTGAACTGGTCTTGGCAGAGCTGTGGGAACTCAGCCTTGGTTTTCTTCCCAATGCCCCCAAAGTGGAGCTCTGAGCAACTTGGTCTAGTGGAAGCTGTCCCTGTCCATGGCAGGGGGGGAGGTTCCAACCCAACCCAAACCTTCTCTGAAAGTGCAGCTAGAGGCAAAACTGTGGCCTTGAATAGCAGCAGACTTGTGCTGGGGAAGGGAGCAGATGCCTTGATGCCTCAGGTCAGTCCAGTGACTCATCTCATTTCTAATGGGGATGTAGAATGTTAATGTACAGGGCTCCCTGTCTTTTCCTAGGACTCTGTTTGTGGCTTCCAGGGAAGGGCAGTGGCCTCCTCTCTTCTCCATGATCCACATTCGAAGGCATACCCCCCTTCCTGCTGTCATGTTAATGGTAAGGAGATCTGGCTATGCGTGACACGCTCTGTTCTTTTGCTCTCTTGGCTTTCTTGCAAGGACTGGATAAACTGAGGAGTTTTAGAGGGTGTTGGGACATTAAATTTCTCCCTGAAAAATAAAGAAGGCAGGATACAGGAAATGGCTGCAAAGTATTAAATCCCCTTGAGCCAGCAGTGGTATCCAAATGTACAACCTTGAAGTCCCTGCCTTATAACATTACACACCTTTTTTAAAAATACAGTCCCTACCATCTGCCACAGGTGCTGCTTGATATTGCCCTATGAAAATAGCTCTGCCAGGCTTTGGCTATCTGGAAATTTAAAATTCCCAGGTGTGGTGGAAATGCAGGGAATGAGCATTTGTAGACATGGTCTGGTCTTGTGTTTTGGTTTCTTCAGGGTTTTTTTTTTGTGGCAATGGTGTAGCTCCATCCCAGCTGTACTGTAGTGCCTGTTGCAGCTTGGCTGAGCTGCTAAAACCTTAGCAGATGTCATTGTAGATAGCCTGTGTACCAGCAGTACAGGCTTTTGGATCATGCATGTTTTAATTGCCCTGGCTTGGACACGAAGCATCGAAGATGCTGCTGATCTTGGAATGATCACTCTTTTCTGTAGCACTACAGATGAGTGCCTTTAATCTTTTGCCTTCAGTCTGTGACACTATTTTGTAAAACTCTCTGACCTCCAAAATGCTGGGGCTATGAAGTAGCTGCAGGGGGGTTGGAGGAGGTGATCCATGGCTGTAATGACTGTATTTCATGTCCAAAACACTCAGTTCCCTTTGGTCACTGCCATGGTGTGCATTGGAGACATCTACCACCTACTGAACTTCTTCAGCTTTTCCCGATGGCTCTTCATAGGATTGGCCACCCTGGGGCTCATCGTCCATCGCTGCCGTCACCCGGAGCTGCACAGCCCCTTCCAGGTAACGCACAGCACAGACCTGGCAGCCAGGAACCTGCAGCCCTGCCATCCCTCTCCTTGATTTGCTTATAATTACAGCATCACATGGCCATGGTTCCCTTTAGGCTCCAAGGGGTTTCAGTCTCTGATGCTTAGTAATGTGTGTGGGGAGCTCCTGAAAGTGGTTGGTGTGCCCAAACAGCCAGATGTGATAAATCCTATAAAGCCAGTTCTACATGGGCTCACCAGATGCATCTGTCAGAATACTGCTTGCTACAAGGGACAAAGTTTCAGGCTAGGAACTGGGAGAAGTACAGAGAGAAGTTCTCTGGCTCATCTCTTGTGGCCTACAAGAAGGGATTCTTGCCTGGATGTTATTTCAGTGGCAGGTAAGTCTCAGCTCTAGCTGAGAAGCAGGAAGGTGTCAGGCTTGGGGGGAAAGGAGCATGGGTGGAGGGGTCCTGGGAGCAAACCTGACTTGGGGAGGAATCATCTGCTGGTGTAGAAATATTGTCTCATGTAAAGCAGTGGGTCCCTCCTGTGGCCTTTCTCATTCCGCTGGGTGCTGGGATCCCCCCTCATGTCAGCAGGGGATGCTGGAGCAGCTTTCCTGTGCTTGGGCACCTTTCCCACTGCTGGATAATGTGCAGAAGGCATTGGGTTGGGGTGGTGCTTGAGGCGGGTGCAGTTTGCTCCTGATCTGGCCGCTCCTGTGTGGTACCCGCTGGCAGCAGCTCCCGGCAACAGAGAGGAGCTCCGGGGCTGTGGGCACTGGGCAGTGAGGAGCTCGGGGGACAGAAACGCCTCCTGCAGCTCGCAGGGGTCCTCTCTGAGCTGGGTGCATCCTCCTGCAAAGTTTGGGGTCATTTTTCTTCTCGGTCTTTGCATTCAGCAGAGACCTTGAGGCTTCCCAGTTTGTTGGTTGGCTGCACTTGCATGCTCCCCCAGAACCAAACGGAATAAGTTTAGTTTAGTTTTTCTTTCAAACCAATCTTCTGAGGGGAGATTTATTAGTGGCTGGCACTGCTGATGGTTTCAGATGCTGAGATTTTGCCCTGGTTTTCAGACTTCTAGCGGCTCCTAAATGCTGATTAAACGAGGGAGGGAAACACTGGCCCTCCGGTCAGCTCGGCTGGTTTTCCCCGCCTTTTCCCTGGTTTCCATCAGCTCTGTGCAAGGGCTGCGCGCAGGTGGCGCGGGCCCGTGCTGCGCTCTAGTGGCCGCCCGCGGGCTGTCGCCTGCCGCTGCCCGGGGGACAGCAAAGCGTGGCACGCCTGTGACAGCGCTGGTACTCGCTCTCTCTGTAGCATTCTGAGTTAAAAACGGTGGGAAAACACCCGAAAGAGGAGGGAGCAGTCCGCTCGCACACCTCTCAAGCAGATGTGCAGCGTGAGTGTGTGCATGTAGGAGCGGCTGGCAGAGGATGCTCTGGCTGGAAAGACAAGAGTACCTAAGTTTGATGGCTGGATGGCTGCCATACCTAGAGCAACTGTTCTCTTCCAACTTGGCATGTTGAGTATCCAAAATACAATCTTTATTACTGGTAAAGATAGTCACCTTATATGAGAGCAGCTCCTTCATTCCACCAGCCATGGCAAGGAGTTGCTTGGCAGAGTTTGGATCCAGAGACAGAAGGAGTGTTTCACAGTTTTATTATTTATTGCAGTCTTCCTATTTGCTCTCCAAATAACCCAGATGAATTGGCTCATCCAATAGGTACGGCTGAAGTGCTGAGTGCTGCTTTTATTTTCACCATGGTGTCACTGAAGCTGAAATTCTTGGTGCAGATACTACAGAGATAGGGATAGGCAGTCTGGTTTGTCTTGGTTTAATCAGTATAAATCTCAGGCAAACTAGAGGCAGTCAACATGAGTCATAGGTTTATAAGCAAAGATCAGTTTGATTCAAAGTGTCACTTCTTTCTTGGCTTCAGATATTCCCTCAGTGGTTGCCTTAGGGGGCACGTAGGTATGTGTGTGCCTGGGCATGCACAGGTGCAGGACATTCACAGAGCCGTGGGCTGTAGGCAGCTTCTCCCCCTGCTTGGCTTCCAGTTGCAAGTGAGGTTTCGATTTTGGTGCACATGAATATAGGAGGCATGCACCTCACAGGGCACACTGGGCTCTGAAGCTGATGCAGTTGTTTGCAGTCTGACAGTACAGAAGCATTCTGCAGGACAGGATATGATGATTCTAATTTTCTTTAGGTGGAGAAATGGATAGAGCGTGTGCTGGCATGTACAGAGTCTGATCGGCTACAGCCACCAGGTTTCCCTGATAGTCTCCTGTGCTCTTTTCCTCAGGTTCCCTTGTTTGTTCCTGTCTCTTTTACCATCATCTGCCTCTTCACAGTGGCAATGTCTTTCTACTCAGACCCTGTGAACATCAGCATTGGATGCACCATAGTTCTGAGTGGTTTTCCAGTCTACTACCTCATCATTCACAGGCAGATGTCCGATCGCTGCCGCAACCTGTTTTGTAAGTATGCATTTCACTTTCAGTATTGTGGACCTAAACGTGCCCAAGGGTCAGGGTGCTGGTTTGTTGCCAGGGCTCACTTCTGATGCAAATTGCTCCTTGACCAACAGACCTCATGAAACCTAAATCATGACTGCTGGCATCACTCTGGTGTCTTTCCCAAGGCACAGCCTCCACAGGCAAATTTGTTTTAACAAAGACAAGGCTGAGGTCTACCAACAGGGGGAACAGAGAGGGTCGGTTTCCCACCCCAGCCCTAGTACCTACTAAACTTTATCATGTCTGTGGGATCAGCAGCTCTGGGTGAAATTTGTCTGACATGGAGCAGAAAGACAAAAAGTTAGGATGGAGGGGCTACAGGTAGATGCTGTAACCCCATGCACAAACTTGCTTGCTGAAAGGTTGGGGAGAGGACTGCTAGGAGAAGAGCACTGCCAGAGGTCTGTGTGCTTGGTGAAGAGGCCAGGATGGTTTGGGTACAAATGTAGCCATGGAAATGAAGTACATCTCCACTCCAGGCAGTGTGTAGTACAGATTTCCTTTGGATGTAGGCATGGTGGCAGAAGGGTTTTTTCAGAAATGAGAGCCCGGGTTTGAGTTTAAATTGTTGTTTCTGTTCCAAGTCTTATTTTCTTTTGATTTGATGTTGGATGGAGGTGCATCACTAACCACTCAATAGAAGACAACATGTAGCAAGAAAGGAAACAGATACAGTGATCTGCCAACATAAAGTGCTCCAGCCATCAGTGCTGATGCTCTGATTTTCAGCCATGTCTCAGGATTGCCTCTGGACTAAGCTTCCTTCCTTTTTTTCCCACCTTTTCAGATTATCTTACACACAAACTACAGTTACTGCTGGAAGTTGTCCAACAAGAAATCAAGACTTACTGAGAAAACCATCAAAACTCACAGAAGACAATAAAAATCTACTTACACCATTTTTGACACCTTTGATGTTACCAAAAGCAGTCCATGCTTTTATTCTTTTCAGTCAGTGCAACTGAGGATGACTGAGCCAAAACCTTGTTGCAAGTGTTCCTAAGCTTGCCAACTGGGATCTGTTCCTGCCCTTTTATTTTTTTCAGAAGAGCAAACTAGTTCTCTGAAATGAGCTTGCTTTGCCTGCAGAGTGTCTTTGAAACCAAGATCCTAATTTTGCAGCCTAGCCCAATCCTGAGAAAAATTGTGTGTGTGTGTGTGCGTGTGTGTACAGAGACAGTATTTTGTTTTCCTGGCTTGGCAAACAGAGGAAGTGGGCATGTTGCAAAACTTAGAATCCAGTACATGGAAGCCAAATGCAAGTTTCAAACAGAACCACTACAGCAGTCTTGTGGGGAGAGCTAATGAGAGATAAGGCAGATGAACTGGAAAGGGGAATACAGGGGGACAAAATTTTGTCCACCAGAAACTGCAGACTGAGATTATGAGAAGATATTTGAAATTCAAGTACTAACAAAGTAAAGTCAGAATGTTTTGCTTTGATTTTTGTATAAGCAGAATGAGTTTTTTAGCCTTGAAATAATCTTTCAACCTGTAATTTCAGAAAAGTAAAATTCAATTTTTAAATGTGCAAAGGCATTTTTAAAACCATCAGTTTAATGTCAACTAGAATATGGCAGGAGAGAACCTGGTCCCTCCCCCAGCTTCCCAGACCCACTCCTTACCAGTGAAGTTGAAAACTCAGAATTTGGCTTAGCTCCAGCGAAATACAATTCCTCCTTTAATTGGACAGGACCACTGATGAGACTTGGGCAGATTCCTGAATAAATGCATCTTCTGGTGCTGTAAGAAGACATGAGTGACTTCACATCCAAGCTTTAACTTGCGCATGACTTGCTGATTTAATCCATAAATGCTCATTTGAACTAATGGCATAAGAAAGGTTTCCATTATTGGATTACTTTGGTTTACATTATTGCATTATTAATGTGGCAATGTTATGTCCAGATAATAGAGCAATTACCTATTTACAATCACGTAATTGTTAATTGGTTCCTAAAAGATGGGAAGTAGCATGCTGAGGCTCCTCTAATGACTGCTGGAAAGAGGAAGATCAGAATGTGGAACATTTTTAAATCCTTTGTATCTAACATTCATGTACTTAAAATAAAAACAAAGTACCATTTATAAATCCAATGTAACCTACTAAAACATGTAAAATTTTGGAACTAAAGTTGGGTTGTTTTCAAAACAATTGAGAATTATTATTCTTGTAGTGATTGCTTCCTGTTCCTGTGCTGAATTAAGCTGGGACAGCAGCAGTGTGGTTGCAGGGCTTGTTTCCCCACTACCCTCCAAGAATTTAATTTTCAAGCCGCTGGACATTGTCCAACGGGAAATACAGTCTCACTGGGAAAATCCTCACAGCAGAAACCATCACACCCTATAGGAGAAGTTACTGGCTTTAAATGATAGAATGGATTCAAGTGAGATCTGGAAATGCTTCCAGGATCCCAGACAAGAGCCAATCCCTCCTCGTGCCAGGCTTTCCTGAAGCTGAACCACCTGGCACGCCTTCCCACAGCACCCAGTGGTGCACCAGGACCCAGCATGGGTGGCTGGGGGACCAACCTGCAGAAGACCTTGCAGAACCAGGTGAGCTCAATCACCCCAATATTTCCTGGGTCCACCCACTTTGGTTTGAGGGATTTTACACATCTTAAGGTAAAAGCATGAGGTACTGCCAGCCTGGTCCCAGCTGCAATACCCATGTGAGCACAGTGTGCACGTGTTGTAGCATCAGGACTCCCACACCAAAACTTGGAGTAGTCTGAAATTACAACGGAGCTGCTGCATGTCACAGAGGCACAGACAAAGGGTGAAAAGTCCCTTCTTTGTCCATTTCCTCTGAAGAGAAAAAGCAAACAAGAATTGAAATTCCTGGGAGGAACTAAGTAATGCTTCATGCTGGACCATGGTTTCTTTATAAACGATAAGTCATTTGACATATGCTGGGAAACCACACTTGGGTACCTCTGCTGACTGTGCAGGAATATGATCTTGCAGGGCTATACATAGGAAGACTGCTCTGAGACCTGTTCCATTCCCACATACTGGGAATGCAGACAGATATAGTACCATGGCTGAGAAATCAGAGGTTCAACAGCTCCACAGATGACATTGGAATTGAAAGGGATAAAAATAAAAAATACGATGTTCAGAAGACAGCAGTTTACAGTAAGCTCAAGTTTCCAGCTTGCAGAGAGGTGTTTGTTTTTAGAGAGGATGACGTGCTGCTCCCAGCAAAGATATGTAAACATTTTCTACCAAGCCAGAATGCTCTTTCTAAAGCTCCTGTCTCATGTCTACTGAAGCACTTAGGCCTCAGTGGGTCTAAGAGCTTTAAGGATGGCCAGAAATGAAAGAAAGTGAGTTCATAATCACATTTGTGGTGTTGTTTTTTTTGTTTTGGTTTGGTTTTTTGCCCTGTGTGTGCTAGGGGTTTTGTTGTTGTTGAGTTGGTTTGCTTGTTTTAATGCTATGTCTATAGAATGCACTCAGAGAGTAGCCTTTCTGGAAACTCAAGAGATTTATGTGTTTCAGCCACTACTGATCTGGTGTGACTGGAACACCAGGAAAGAAAAATGTTCTGGGCAGTTCAACTGAACACAATCTGAGATTTAAAAAAAAGTCAAAGAAATGCTTTTGGCTTAACAAGTTTGCATCTTAAGACTACTTGACATGCTGTTAAGCTTTATGCCTCAGAGCTCTGCTGGGAAATGTTGTCAGCTTCTGAAAGGCTGGAGGTCAGACTGGAAAGCTCCTAAGCCTTGTCTGATTAGTGTGGGGAAGAGCAGAGAAGGAGGTTCAGACTTCAAGGTGCAGGAACACAAACACCTGGGACGGTGCAGAGCTCCGAGGGCTGAGCGAGCCTGTCTCACAGGGCTCTGCGCTCAGCACACACAGGTTTGTGAGGCTCAGTGTGGCTCTGCTTGCTGCAAACCCCCCAGCAGTGCCCACACAACCCTGGGGAGAGCTGGATGAACAAAACCCACTTCCTGCACTGAGATTTGGGGAGCCACTTTGCAAGGCAACGCCAGCTGTTGGCTTTCCAAGAATGATGTTCAACAGAAGCTGCTCCTTATAGAAAGGAGAAGGTGCTGAATATCCCCAGCAGGAAGGCTGAGAAGAATTGGCTCTAGGTAAGTACGATGACAGGAACCCAAAAGCAGGGGTAAACTCTGCTGGTTTGCTGTGACGTTGATTTTGCAGCTGTATCTGCCAAAGCCCTGGGCTGTGCCTGGCCTGCTCGTGCTTGGCAGATGCGCATGCGTCTGTCGCAACCAGCAGAAGGAAATGTTACTCAGCCCCACTTCCTTAAGGGTCTGCGGCAGAGAAGCACCCGTGCTCCACGGAGCGGCTGCGAGGGAGACAGTGAGGTACAGATGTGCTGTGGGCAGTTCACAGGGAGCTCTCACAGCTCTGCTCACCCTTACAGCCAGCTCTGGCTCACTTTCGAAGGTGTTGCTGCACCCAGGGCACCTTTGCCATGCAGAGCAAGGGTTAAGTAGGTTCATCCAGCCTGGCAAGCACAAGGCTGATGCCCTCAGCTCCTGAGGGTGGTGACTGCGCAGCCCGAGGACAGAACTGTGCCAGGGAAGTGGCACATGCTGGGCTCTGACAGCCGTCCCAGGATGCAGCTGAGAGGGAAGGGTTGGACACACAGGAAGTTCAGGTTTTCATAGCTTGTGGGCTTGGCTTTCAGGTCTGCTGGAGGGTTACCTGCTTGCACTTTGTCATACTGTAAGTGTTTGTATCTTCATTCATTCATCTTTTTTTCTTGTGTAAGGGAAAAGATGGCATGAAGCTACTTTTTAAGTATAAATTTTTCTCTGTATAAAGTTATTCCTGTTAAGATATAAAAAGCAAATGCAGAGTTGCACAAGACCATGTAGCGAAATCTTCAGCAAAATGTGAAGGACATTGCCTCCCTTGCTGGCAAAACATTTCTGTCTGCTTTTGACGTGTTTCACCTCTGTTTATTCCTAGTTGGGGTTAGTTGATTAGTGGAGAATCCCAGCATGGAGCAGAAATGCTGAAATGTGAAAAGGAAAGAATGTCACAAGGGGACAGATTTGCAAGCTCATGTGATCAGGGCAGGGGAGCTGGCAGGGATTAGCAGGGGTTATCTGGAGTGGAGAGAGAGGGAAGAGAGAGTTGGGCAGCAGTGAAAAAAAGCTGCCTGGAAACATCATCCCACCCCACTTCCTGCTTTCCTTTCCATTTCCCCGCTCCCCACCTCCCTCCTCAAATTCCACCCTTCAAATCTGCCAACTTCAAATTCTTCAGCCATGCCAATAGCAGCAGCATCATTGTGCTGTGCAGAGGGGGAAAAAAAGGGACAGCCATGTCCAAAAAATCTCCTGGTAGTGCTGGATCTCTTGAACGCCCTGCAATGGGAGAGAAGAATAGTTTGGAGCATTTTTCTAGGAACAGGTCTGGCTGGTGTTGCTGTGTACACAGGCAGCGCTGGAACGAGGTCTGTCTGTGAAGGAGACCCAGGCTCTTCCTCGCTCTTTGCTCTGGCAGTGTGGGGCTGCCAAGCCTTTGTTTTGGGGATCTTTGCACTGTAAACAACTCTATGAGGGAGCTGCTCCTGTAATGATTTCCCCTCATTGGCCTGCTCTGAATACCCTTCATCCCTGCCAAAGTACAAAGGGCGTCAGAGCTGGACACATGATCATTTCCAGTTTCTGTTTCGGTATCGTGTTCAGATTCTTCAGGCAGCTCAGAGTAGCTCTGTCACAGAAGATCAACAGTTGGCAGCTTTTGGCTATGGATATGTGATCCATGATAGATAGGTAATGTTGTAGGGGCAGTAAAGTGGTGAGATACATTTAAAAAGTGTTGTCTGGGTCCAAAACTGGGAGATTAAATGAAGGGTGAAGCACAGCAGGCAGCAAAGCAAAATCCCATGAGTTGGAATTATTGGTGGCTATCTGTTTAATTTTCTTCTCTTTGTAGGTGGTGTGTCTAGGATAGAGTGCAGAGCGGAGACTTTGCTGGTAAGTAATGGTATCCCCTCCTGCAAATGAGAGCTGCTTTCTCACTCCCTGTCCTCAACAGGACAGCAGGGAGAAAATAAGATTCATGAACTGAGATAAAGCCAAGGCGAACATTGGGCAAGACAGACTTCACTTGGGGGAAGTTAATTTATTGCCAATTAAAATGGATTTAAATTGTGTGAAAAGAAAATTAGATCACTTATTCCCCCCTCCATGGATTCCCAGGTTCAACTTCACTCCTTCATTCCTGAATTTTCTGCCCCCTCCTACCAAAGCAACGCAGAAGGGAAGGGAAATGGATGTTGTCCTCAGTCTGAAAGACTTGCCATCTACTCCTCCATCATTCTCAACAATTTCCCGTGCTTCAGCAGGGTTCATTTCCCATGGGCTGCAGTCCTTCAGGATAAACGTGCTCTCGCATGGGTTCTTCTCCACGGACTGCAGCTTCCTTCGGAGCCTGTCCACATGCTGCAGCATGGCCTTCTCCATGGGCTGCTGTGTGGATCTCTGCTCTGTAGACCTCCAAAGGCTGCAGGGGCACAGCTGTCTCACCATGGCCTTCTCTGTGGGCTGCAGGGGAATCTCTGTGTCTATTGGAGTATTAATCCCAATATTACCAGGTGGAATGTGCCTGGGCTCATCTGACCCTTGCTGCTGGGCCAAAGGTGGCAGCTGTGGTGTTCCCCCTCAGAGACACCTTTGGCTGGCTGGAAGTTGCAGTTAGGCACTCGGAACAAGTCCAGGCATGGTAGAAACTCAGTTTACCTCTGATGGAAAGGCTCCAGGCTAGGTGAAGAGGAAAAGGAGATGGATTCTGCAGAGGGTTTAATCCAGAGTTTTATTCCAAAGTCACATATGTCTGAATCGTGGTAACAGCTCCACAGAATGCCAACTGCATGGTCTCCGTGTCTTTTAAGCCTGGGGGTGGAGGGAGGGAAGGGACAGGTGAGCCACCAACCAGGTGGGAGGGGGGGAAGGCTCAGGGGACAGTGACACTTGGATGAGCCAATGACCCCAGGGCTGAGGGGCAGCTTTTGAACTTTTGCCAATCACACGAGGTCCCTGCTGGAATGATAAGATTGACTGACAGCACTTAGCAAGGAGGCAAGGGGAGGGGAAGGGAGACGGTATTGCCACAACTGGGAAACTACTGGGATAGCTGAAACAGGAAATGGCATCACACTGCAGGTGTCAAGTGTATTTTCTTAAAAAGTGTTTTTAGGAAGATACATTTTTGAGAAAATCAGTGGCACAGGTCCAAGCCAGAGAGGTCAGGGTCATTTCAGAGGTGCTTACCATGCCCTATAAACATCCAAACACCAGTTCCTCAGTTCTGGGGGCAAACCTGCACTTTCCAGCTGAAAGGGGTCTCCCTTTTTAAGAAGTGAATAGATTTCTGATCAGACCAGGGATACTGCACAATTTGACAGTTTTGGAAAAGACCCCTACTTTGATCTGGATTTCTTTTCCAATGCAGGGCAGAGCAAGCAGCCAGGTGCCCATCAGCTCTTCTGCACTTGTTGTCTCTTCTGCACTCTGTGTTGTCTCCCGACTCATCTGTCTGCTCCTGAAAATGGAGTATGTCTGGTATTGGCTCGATGATTCCAACCAGTGGATTGAGTATGGGAAAGAGGTGAAATTCATCTGCTGTTCATGCCAAAAGCTTTTGTTAAGCCATCTTTGGAGAGTTCTTTAGAGCGTGTTGTTCTGCAGCTGGTGTGTTCTACACGCACTGCTGGGTGCCCCTGCAGTGCTGCTCCAATGCCTGGGTGGAATTGTCTTCTTAATTGTCCCTCAAAGCAGGACTGGAACTCTGTGAAAGCTTTCAAGGGACTGGCTTGGGAAGCGGGTGCATTTTCCAGAGCTGACAAACATCATTTGGCTGGAGCTGACCACACAGGCTGTGGGGTTCTTTGTTGCTGCTGTTAGAAGTAGCTGCGCTCCATGGGGTACCCCTCCATCTCTGGAGAACAAAATGCTTGAAGCCACAGAGACTTCAAAATATTCTCCTGCTATAGGGGCCTGGGGAAACATTGATATTTCCCCACAGTGGCACCCAAACCAAAAGGTGGTTTCTAACACATATAATTTCCTTGTTCTTTCTGCAGCACCCAGGTCACGCCACTGCCACTGTAACATCTGCATTTCTGGAGAATGAATATCAAGCTGACAAGAATGGTATTATTTTCTTCAGGGCTGGTTCTCAGCAGTATCTGTTAAACTTTGCAGGTGAAGTATCTCCTTGTTTTAATTTCATTTCATAGTGCAGCTGGCTTGAAGGTTTTCACATTATGTCTGCATCTCTTTCAACAGCTTTTCTTCCTTCTGCAAATTTTCTCCAAGCAGAAATTGAGCAGTAGGTAAATTTCTCTAAACCTTTGACATGCCCCACTTGAGCTTCTACACTTGGGCATCTGTAGTCAAAAAAACCACACCTGACAATATTGTACATTCAGAAGAAGAGTTGAGAGTAAATGGCACCTTGGCTTATACATTTGTGTTTATACACCTGAAAAAGAAGAATGAAAAATCAGGGAAAAAAAAACGCACTGAAAAGTCAAAGGGTGAAGAAGTGAGCCTATACTGAACATCTTGGAAGCTTCTTACAGGGAGAGAAAGCACAGTGCAGCAAACAAAAATTTAGGGCTGGTTGCATAGAGAGAGAAATGGGAAAATGAAAAATGCTTTTCTGTTTCTAATTTATTTACCCATCTTAAAACTCCTGTTAGCTTTCCAAACTTTAAATGTTTCCTGGCATGAGTAAAGAGTAGTGTTTAAAGGAGGAAACAATGGATAATTAGCCATGTCACACAGCATGTGCTCTGTGATATTGTTACAGGACCAAGAAGGGAGGGCAGGCTTTGCTTTTAGCACCATGGAGCAGCCCTGTGCTGCCAGGAGAGCCAGGTTTGTGGCCCCCATTGCACTGAAAACTCTTTCCTGCTACAGGCCTGCCATCAGATGTGGTTTTCTCTGGCCAGCAGCCTGGATGTGAATACCAGTGCAGGTGCAGTTGGTGCTTGGTTGCCTTCAAGTTTCACAGCCTGTGCTAGCAGGTGGCTGACCTTGCTGATCTCCAAGTAGGAGCAGTGCAAGTGGGAATGAAATTTGCACTGGGGTGGGTGCGATAGAGAGGGCACCACAATGCAATATTCAGGGTTACCTCCTCTTTTATTTTTACTTAACATGGATGAGCCTGTCCCTAGACAATGAATTATCTTATTATTGAGTTAGTGTGTTTTTCTTTCAAGACATGGTCCAAACAAATGTGCTCTTTAAAACTCAAAGAAGTGTTATTCGACTGCCTAAAGAATCTGAAGATGGACAAGATGGAAGGTAATACACATTCATTGTTTAACAGTGTCTCTAGAGGACAGCACCTTTCTGCTAAGTTCCTCCTACCTGCCTAGAATGCAATTTTCTATTTCTTAAATTAATTTTTAGATACCTTTTCCTGACTGGTTTAACAGTACATTTTGCAGTGACAGTATTTGTAAATTATGCAACGTTTCTGTAAAACTCTCTGGAGGGATGTTTGCTGGCAGTCTCTGGCAGCTGTGACAGACCACTAGAGCAGATCTGCTCTTTCTGTGAGAGGCAAGGCCACATAGGGCTGACACAACTGTGCCAGGAAGTTTTATTCCTTGATTTATGCCCCAACACTAATAAATAAACTGTGCAGCAATTAGGAGCGAGGGACTGCCAATCCCAAGAGCTGTGGTGCATGTGGATGTCATCTCTGGGAAAGCTGAGGATAAACTAAAATTCAGAACAGGCAAATCCATTGAAATAAAGTGAATTAGAGGCACTTACTTGAGATACTCTATCTTATGTAGCTTTTTCTAAAATAAGTTCAGCTTAATTTAAACACATCTGCTATAAATGTTATTTGTGCTACTGATTTCTTTTAGTAAGAGCTGTCTCTGCTTTAGCAACTCACCAGCAGAGAGTGTATGTGAAGCTGAGGGTTCAATTAAAGTGTTGGTTCAACCTAAGGTGTGTTCATTCAAAAAGAAAACAAACTATAGCTTGTGAATGGATGCCTGAAGGCTGCTTTAGAGCCTGTGGTTAGATTCACCAGAAGGGGGATTTGGTTAGGAGTATCACCAGCTGACTGGCTCCTTTTTCTATTCTGTAGCCAAAACACGACTCTATCACATCCTGTCTACCCTCCACAGTGGGACCAAACTGCACTACCTGATATTGGGTACAAGGTAGGACTTTTCAGCTCTACAGTGGGTGGGGAGAGCTCTCTCCTGTACTGTTTTTTTTTTTCCAAGACCATAATTCAAGGCAATTGAGATGTTACCAGCTTTTAAATGTGTCTTGTAAAATAAGCAGCTATGATGTGAAACAAGACTGACAGTTCATATTCAGAACAGATGTGCATTTCCTGGGAGGCTCTCTGAGAATGATGTGGTATCATCTCCCCTATAATATCACACAGGGTAAGAAAGGCCATTGCTGCTCACACCCGTCCTTTGCACTCTCCCAGGGCACTTCATCCCCTGATAAACCAGATTAATTGTATCTTAAGGTGGTATTTCCTCTGTCAGTTTGGGGCAGGATGTTATTTGCTGTGGTAAACTGCAGCTTAGCCCTGCAGGGCAGAGTAGACTAGTGTGTCACATTAAGGGGAAACTTTCACTCTGCTTCAGCCTGAATGCTGCTGTGCATTTTAACTTTAGGTTACTCTGAGCTAAAGATAGTCCTGATATGAAGGTGCACCCTCAAAAGGAAGTTGTGTGGGGGTGCACTGGTTTCCCTCAGTTGGTGCCTGTGCTTCCACATGGGGACTGATGGTAAAGGAGGGTTGATAGGAAAAGCAGAAGCAGCTTGTGATTTTTGTGGAAGGGCTTTTCAGCAGATGTGAGGAGGTTGAGGAGTCCTTTGAAAGGACTGGGAGTTGTTATTCTCAGTAATACCTTATTTTTAGTGCTTTAAAAATATTCAGTTGATACAGCTCAGCACTGATTCCCAAGAATATATAAAAATCAAGAGGCTGTTTGAGAAGACAATGAAAGGTTACTGCATCAACAAACTGCAGAGGATTCAGAACCCAACACTTTGGGACATCTTTCAGTGGTTTGTATCTATTTTATTTCATTATCCTTACTGTATGAGAAGACTGGTATTTTCTGATCTCTTGTCCTCCATAGTCTACATTTGGAACTGCCAAATTCAGCAGTCCAGCAGAGGTGAGGCTGCCACATATCTCTCTGCCCAGGTCTGGCTGGTGGCCCAGACTTATGACTGTCCCAAAACCTGGCTCCCTGAGGCCAAGGCTTCCCTGGGGCAGTCATGGAAGGGGACTGGGGCTCCTCTCTCTGTGACTGAGTTGTTAGCATTGTATCTGTATTCTTTTGTGTGTGCAGAAATTAGCCTTTTATCCCTAGCAAGATATCTGTGTGATTCTTGCTAGTGCTATTCAAAAAGTAAATTATTTTCCTTCATCATAACTGAGCTTTGGTGTTTCAGGTTTATTCTTTTGGTTTTAGCCTCTTCCACATAGGAGTTAGGAAAAAAAAAAAAAGGAGGAGACTTTTTTTGGTGATAAGGGCAGAGATTATACAATCTTCACTGTAGCTTTACACAGCCCTGTTTTATAATCATATTTATGTATTCAGGATTTATATAACATGGGAACTGACCAACTCCTAGTCAGAGATGTTTGTCTCTTTACTCTCTCATGTGGTATAAAGTTGTGGGAGACACAGTCCATAGTGCTGCAGAGAACTTTTTGTTTTGCTGGCAGGAGCCAGCCGTGTGGCAGGGTACCAGCAGAAGTGCAAAGCAGGCAGTAACCCCACCGAGAGTGGTTTGTGTCACTGTTCCTCCATGACCCAGAAGTAGGAGGAGTTGAGTTGGGAAATTTTCCTTCTTTGAACCAGGAAAACAAGTAGGGGTTTGTTGGTTTGTTTTTTTGGGTTGTTTTTTTTTTTTTATTGTTGTTATGTTGGGGGGTTTTTTGTTTGTTTTTGGTGGTGTTTTTTTTTTTTTTTTTTTTTTGTGGTGGTGGTGGTGGTTTTTTTTGGTGTTTTTTTTTTTGGTTTTGTTGTTTTTTTTTTTTTTTTTTTTTTTTTGGTTTTTGGTTTTTTTTTGTTGTTGTCCCTAGGCAAAAAGAAAAGATGAAGAAGCTCCATAAATTGAAAGGGGTGAACGAGAGGCTCCTGTTCCATGGCACAAGTGCATCCCATGTGTCTGCCATCTGTGAGCAGAACTTTGACTGGAGACTCTGTGGGACCCATGGGACAATGTATGGAAAAGGTACAAGTGCAGAAGGGTGTAGGGGCTGTGGCAGCAGGGACTGCAGACCCCAGCCAGGCTAGGGGATGTGGGTGCAAAGTGACTGATGGTTCCTGACCCACGTACTCCTGCCTTTAGGGCACGGTCACCTGTGCACATCTGCATTGCTTTAGGTAGCACCCACAGCAGCAATCCCATTCCAGGAAGGCCTAGAAACACCTCTCTTTGCCTCAGGTGCCTGCTCTTGGACAGGTGGGACTGGGAAGCTAATGGTGAAATGTTGCCTGGAGTTGGTTGGTACTTTACAATAAGCCAGTGTGGCAGCACCTGGCAAGAATTTTCCCACACATTGTAGGGCTAGCTGGGCTTGTTGGATTGCTGGCTGCCAAGGTGCTGTTAGCACTTGCTTGTCCCCAGGCTGGTGTGTTTGTTGTCTGACCTGTGGCTTTTTCTGCTCCCTAGGAAGCTACTTTGCCAGAGATGCCAGCTATTCCCATGAGTACTGCTCCTCTCTCGGTGGGCGCTACCACATGTTCATAGCTCAGGTTCTTGCTGGAGACTTTGTGCGGGGGAACCCTGAGTACTGCCGCCCTCCACCCAGAGACAAAAACTCAAACAGACTTTATGACAGCTGCGTGGATGACCCCACAGACCCTTCCATCTTTGTCATCTTTGAGAAGCAACAAATTTACCCTGCCTATATCTTGGAGTACAGCCTTGAGACCAGCTGTGTGGTCCTGTAATGAATGGTGGAACATCTTTTGAATTCACACTGAATAAATTACTCTTCAGTACATTTTTTAAAATGTTTGTTCAATTTTAGTTGTAGCTTTAGAACTCTTTGTAGTGCATTGAACCAGTATCAATCCTCTGATTGTTTTGGGGGGCATAGTTTTTTGTTAGGGATTATTCTTTCCCCAGGAACAGTGCCAAGCTTTAGCATTCAGCATATCTCTAGCCTGGAATGGGGATGTACCTGCTTTGCATACCATGATGCAGCGATACCTGCTGAGTTGAAATGACCTTGATCCACTGATATAGTCACCTTGGTTTGATTCCTGCCTGTGATGGTGCTGATATGCCAAAGGGAGGCTGGGCAGGGAGTGTGGAAGAAGGAAAAGTGAAAGTACCTGCATCATGGTGCTCAAAAGAGGAATCATGGCCTGTCTTTGAAGTAAATGGTAGGAAGCTCCTGCATCCTGAAGGCTTTGTAATTAATGCTGGTAAAGAACTTTACTTTGTTTCCTGGTCACATTGCTGACATTTCTTCTTACCTTGTTCTGCTGTGTCAAGTCTGCATGTCTCTGTGACACCCTGTCCTTCCTCTGTTCCCACTGGATTCAGGTCAAGAAAAGCAGGGATATGGCATCTGCTGAAGTTAGATCCCCACCATGCCATGACACTAGTCTATGCTGAGCTGAATAATGGCCCACAGCAGTGTCCCACCAGGGCTGTGGAGCCAGTTCCTGGAGCAGTGAGCAGTGAGACACAGGGGCTTTGTGAGGGCATGGCAACCTCCTTGCCACCCTGCAGGCTGGCACTGGTGGTGGCTGCTCTGGATTACCCTGATGCTGCTGCCTGGCACTTCTCTGGGAGATGGAGAAGTGCCTCAGTGGTGTGTGCTCCAGCTAGGATGGATGGTGGGGAAAGCTTGAATTGTGGTCATAGTACTTGAAACTTGGTGGATAATGGGATAACATTTGGGATGAGTGATAGCATGGAAACAAAAATTAATGATTTATTTTAAAACAGTAGTGAAGTGTAAGTTGTAATTCAGCAGAGGAGTCACAAGTAGTTCAACTGTGTGTCCCATAGCTGGGAGGAGCCAAGAGGAGGGCTGTGTTTAGGATCTCATCAGCTTTCCTAAAGCTGCTATCTTCAGGCACAATCAATGCCTTTACAAAATTTTGAAAGACAGGGGACTGCAGTAAGTCCCTAAGCTGCACTAATTCATGCAATTCCATGTCTCACTGCTTTTGCAGAAGCCTAAAGGTTGTTTTTTAGCAAATTGGTGATCTAGTCTTGTCAGTCACAGGTGAGCAGAGAACTTTCCACACAGTCAGGAAGTAAAAATGAAAGTCACTTAAAGTGACTTACAGTGGATAGGAAGGGACTGAACAGTGATCATTTTCAGCTGTCACCCTACATTGGTCCCTGCAACATTCCATAGATTTCTTCCATGGTTTTATCAGCTTAAGGAGGCTTGGACGTGCAGCCTTTGGGCAGGACAGGGGCTGGGAGATGAAGGGTTTTGGAAGAGTTTTGCTATTATACAAAATACTCCGTGGAATGATGCCTGTGTATAAATCATCTTCCCCCATTCTTCTCCTCCATGACAGAAGAAACCACCCATCATGTGGGAGAAAGTTATTTCCAGCAAGGTGGGCTTCAGAGTATGATTGCCAAATTCATCAGAGGCTGGAGAAGGTAAGGAAGAGCCTGCTGAGAAGCAGGCCAGCCACAGGAAAAGGGGGGGGTTGTTGATCTGAAAAAGAGGAAACCAGGCAGAGACCAGAGGACATGTGCAAACATGCACCGTTTGGAAGAAAAATAAGATTTTCCAGTAAGTCAAAACTATTTCTGACTACAGGGAGAGTTTCTCACAGCCTCCAGCTGCCTCCAGAATTAGGTGCTGGGTGTTCTATCAAGAAGATCAGGCAGGATCTGGTGTGAGCAGGTGTAACAGTGTGCAGTGGTGTGGCACTGCTGGGGCTCTGCAGGTGCTGGAGTACCAGATCTGACATGGAAGTTCTCCTTGAGGAGCCTGTGCTCTTTCAGGGTCATCCTCTGCAACTCTCCCTTTGTGCTACTGCTCAAAGGAGCACTCCCACCTCCAGGTGGGTGCTGCTGCTGTTTCCCCCATACCTGGATGGGGGCAGTAGATGCAGGGAATTCACCTGCTTGAAAACTGACCTAGCCAAAACCCCCACAAAACCCAAACCCAAAATACAGTGTTCAGCATGAGCTTGTGTCATGAGCCAGTTCTGCTTGTGTCAACACCAACAGAGAGCTGAGCAGGCTGCAGCATGATTTTTAATTGGCATGAGATGATCCTGAACCCCTAGCCCAAGCAGATCTGGGAATCTAAAGCTAAAAGACTCAGGAATATTTCAGCCAGTGAGGCGCTGACAGCAGAAGCTGCTAGTAAAACTGAAAAGCAACTTAATCTATGAATACTTTTTCATGGGACTTTTGTTCAGGATCATAAATTTGCTAAATCTTCTTCCCAACCTGAACCTCTGGCTGCCTCTGGAGTACCTGGGTGCCTTCAAAGTACTAAACAGAAAGCATTCCTCAGCACCCTTTTAGATGAGAAATGCTTGCAAACCATCAGCAATGTGTGTGCTAGTTGGCAGGCACCAAGCATGGATCTGTTGACTTTTCATTCACTTTTTGTTTCCCATGAAAAAAAATTAAGATCTGTTGAGAAAGGGTTAAATTGTTTCTGACTCATGCATGTGATTGACAGTTCACAGTCACCAAGATGGTGGTGGGACAGGTCTGGCCTGAGGAACGCTGATTTCTGAGGGGTTTGCTTCTTCCTCCCTCAGCCAGCCTGACACAGGATGGGCAGTGCTGCAGGGGGCTTGTTCTGCAGCAGCAGCCTCTCTTTGTCATCTCCTGGACAGGCTGCTGTGGGTATCAGCAGCTTCTCCAGTCATTTCTTTAGCAATTGCTTTTCAGGAACCAGCAACTATTCATAAGGATCAATGGATGCATTTTGTAATCATATAAATAATGTATTTTTTCTATGTGTTCATATGTACTGTCTTTGCCTGCAAGGATGTTAGCTCAAGTGATCTTTTCATCATAATGTATTTCTAATTGATTTTATTGTGGTTCTCTTAGGGCTTCACAGCATGCCTAGCTTTAACATAGTTGGTTACATATTCATGCAACTGGTGTAGGCTTTCTATTAAATAACACCTCAGCAACTTTTCAGGCTTTCTTTTCATTTACTGGTGCCGAGTTTGACTTCTCAGTATTTTTAAGAAACCTTTTAACAATTTTGACAGAATTTATTACAGGATGATTAAACTGCAGAAACCTAATGCTTGATTGAATGTGCTGAATGACATATTATTTTCCAAAACATTCAAACTGTTAAAAATCAACCTGAGCCCCATAACCTGGCATGACCACTGTATGGGTGCCAGGTGAAGAAAACACAGATATTGTTCTTGGCATGACATGCTCAACAATTGCATTATTTAACAAGGCTGTTTCTAGATTGAGGGAATAATGAACCCAGATCACTGTGGTAATGATGGGGGCTGACGGTTTGGGGAAAGGCAGGAGTCTTTAGTTAGGGGCCTGTAGGAGACAAATCCCAGGCAACAGCTTTTTCTGGTTGTTCCTGTTCTTTTTCAGTGCCTCTTGTCTGGCATGTTGAGTCCTAGGCATGATTTCCCAGAGCAACTCAAACTGTCTTTACAAGTTTACTTTTACATCTAGCTTACAAATAGGAGCAATAGGGAAGGCTGACCTGGTTCTTATCCATCTGTTCTTAATAAGCTTAGATTTCCCTTCCAGATGGTTTCCAGCGATGTCAGAGGGCCCATTAATTGGTGTGCTTGTGTTCAACTTAGAAATGCTTGGGAAATGTCTACACGTGATATCCCCACCACTGGAGGAAGCTTTGTCTTTACTCACTCCCAAGGAGAAGTTTTATTTCAGTGTGTGTCCTGTAAAAAATTTTTCTTGGTCTGTACCTTCAGCTTTGGTCTCCTTAACTGAATTTTATTTTCAATATCATTTTCCATTTAGTAAGTCCAAAGCAGGTGTTGGAAGTCACATTGGTCTCTGGTTAAACAATTTGCGTACCCTTTCATTCTTGCTTCTTGTGTGCTCTTTCTGACTGCATTTTGCAGATAGATCCTTGCAACTTCCAGTTTGCTTTTCTGTTAAAAATTCCTGCAGGTTTATCGGGCTTTTTTACTATGTTCTGTAGCATCCATCTCAAGCTGTGATCCATTCTGCTTCCTGAAAGCCAGCTGACCTTTGTTTTGTCTCTCAGCTCAAGCAAGTTCTTCCAAGAGTCTTTTTTTATATCCTTTTTCCTCTTAGATCCTAATACAATATGACCTCATTTTACCAGTGACACAATCTCTGCCTTCACATAACTTATTTGATTGAAGGTCCTCACATCAATCCTAATGTCTTTAAAAATCCCTTGTTTGTTTGTTTGTTTGTTTGTTTGTTTGTTTTGTGGGATTTTCTGGTTGGTTGGTTGGTTTGGTTGGGTTTTTTTCACTAAGCAAGTCAAATTCCTTACTAACAGACTGTCCTCTGTGCATTTCCTTAGAAATGTGATTAGTTTCACTGTAGGCTACTAACTAAACCCAAACTTTGAGACAGTGCTATCAAAATACAGTTTTCCTATCAGGATCTTCTCCACCTGCTGCTACGCCTGAACTCTGAGTAACTCAATGACATACCTTGATCACTGGCTTTTCTTTTCCTTCCCAGATTGATCTTGGGATTGTTTTTCTTTTCTTCCCCTCAACTTTCAATTCTACTTGCTCCTGTTAACATGTGGCATCTAGGCAGTTTCCCAAGCTGAAACATAATTAATGACATTCATAAGTAAAAAATCTGCATTACATAACTGGGAAGACAACTTGCAGGACTCTTCTCTATCTAAATGCCATCAAGCAACATAAAAATTAACATAATCCTCTAATGACTGTTAATTCAAGATGATTGTGAAAGTTGTTGTTCATCAAGAGAAGCAGCTCTTTGCAGTGGCATGAGCTACATGGATTGGATAGCCAGGTGATCTATTCCCACAATTGT